GGAAGTCACAAAGAAACAGGATAATATACACCATACATGCACTAAGACCAAAAATAATTCTTCCTCCTCTGGAGCAGTTTTGGCTTAAAAAAATTCATCCGTGAATACCTTAAAAAAGGCCAGGAAAATGTTATTAACACTCGTCAATGTATCTAAAAATAATCAATGGCTTCACGCCACACTTCCTCGACTCATTGAGCTTGCGTGCATCGTGCAGGCATCCATTCCAGTTTATACTTTACGTCCTCTAATATAAACCATATTATAATATTAACTCTCCCCGCGACTTCTTTCGCGTAGAACAATTTGTAGTAATTTATTACAATTTACAATACTTTAATAAATTACTAAAAATTACTCGTTTGCAACGGATTCTGTTCACAATTTCTTGGGTTCTAATTTTTTTTGCTCGAATTGTAATTATTTTTCATATATAAAAGTAGCCTAAGCTACTACTTACAATTATATATATATATATTCTCTCAGATTTTTTTTAGGTGAACTGAATTTGTTGGTTCTATTTTATTTGAAAGCTGGTGCTTCTTCTTCTCTTTCATAAAAATTCAATAATCTATATCTGACCATTAGTTTATGAGTTGTCTTTAATAATGCGTATTTAATTGACTTCGACTACATTGATGATGTTTCCATTTTTTTATTTAAATTGAAATCGGTTGCACAATTTTTTTTATTTTACCACTTGTTGCACTGTGCCTTATTCTCTCGTGAGTGATTGACTCGACCCGGGATTCGTGTTATACCACCATTAAATCACAATTTCTAGATCTGAATAGCTAATAGAAGCATTTAAAAGTAAAGTAAAGTTACAGCCTTATATACGTCCCACTGCTGAGCACAGGCCTCCGCTCATTTCTGAGAGGTTTTAGGGCAAGGAATTATCCACCACACTGCCCCATTGCGTGTGATGTCTTCGAAATATTTTTTCCCTTATTTCTCTGACATGCAGGTTTCCTCACAATGATTTCCTTCACCGCCGAGCACGTGGTAAATCAGCACTTAAAATTGCAATTAACAATTTCATTGGTGCCGGCGGGGATCGAACCCGGTTTGCTCGCGTACTGTGAAATTTACAGCGAGCGCTAACCATCTGAGCTACCACGGCTCATAGAGGCATTTAAATCAATTAAAATCTCATCAGGTCTATAACTATAAACGTAGCGTAACTGCTAAATTTTTATACCACTAGGTAAGAAAATTTAGCAGTTACGCTACGTTTTGCGCTCTATATAGAGCATTATCTATGGAGAGCGCAAACATAATGTAAATTATAGGTAGTACATATAAAGATTTAAACACAAGACTTAACTTGAGATTTTTCATACGTGTTAGAAACACGCTGCAACTATATTATGGTTGTAACAAGAATGGATCGGCTTGACCGGGGAAGGACCAAACTCTCATAGAATATCAACGTAAAATAGCAGCTTAATACTGCTGTGTTTCGTACGGTGAGTGTAGAGATCCGGAGAGCCTTTTTTACTAGAAACGAGGGATTCTATCTTAGTCCTCAGGGGTGACAATACGTCTGCGTTTTGATTACCGACCTCAAAAATTACTTATTTGCTACACTTGGCGATAATTCCCAGGAAAAAAAGCACAATTTTTTTGTATAATAAAATTGACAAACTAGTACACAGCCCACCTGATGGTAAGTGGATGCTGCAGCGTGGCTCTAGCACGTAAATAAAAATAAATATAAAACCTACTCGAAATTCAATTACACGTGTTTTATCTGAAGAATATGCAGTGCCGCCCTCGTACATAGCTGCAGCGTGGCTCTAGCACGTAAATAAAAATAAATATAAAACCTACTCGAAATTCAATTACACGTGTTTTATCTGAAGAATATGCAGTGCCGCCCTCGTATATAGCTGCAGCGTGGCTCTAGCACGTAAATAAAAATAAATATAAAACCTACTCGAAATTCAATTACGCGTGTTTTATCTGAAGAATATGCAGTGCCGCCCTCGTATATAGCTGCAGCGTGGCTCTAGCACGTAAATAAAAATAAATATAAAACCTACTCGAAATTCAATTACACGTGTTTTATCTGAAGAATATGCAGTGCCGCCCTCGTATATAGCTTACAGCGTGGCTCTAGCACGTAAATAAAAATAAATATAAAACCTACTCGAATTAATTACGCGTGTTTTATCTGAAGAATATGAGCCGCCCTCGTACATATAGCTGCAGCGTGGCTCTAGCACGTAAATAAAAATAAATATAAAACCTACTCGAAATTCAATTACACGTGTTTTATCTGAAGAATATGCAGTGCCGCCCTCGTATATAGCTACAACGTGGCTCTAGCACGTAAATAAAAATAAATATAAAACCTACTCGAAATTCAATTACACGTGTTTTATCTGAAGAATATGCAGTGCCGCCCTCGTATATAGCTACAACGTGGCTCTAGCACGTAAATAAAAATAAATATAAAACCTACTCGAAATTCAATTACGCGTGTTTTATCTGAAGAATATGCAGTGCCGCCCTCGTATATAGCTGCAGCGTGGCTCTAGCACGTAAATAAAAATAAATATAAAACCTACTCGAAATTCAATTACGCGTGTTTTATCTGAAGAATATGCAGTGCCGCCCTCGTATATAGCTGCAGCGTGGCTCTAGCACGTAAATAAAAATAAATATAAAACCTACTCGAAATTCAATTACACGTGTTTTATCTGAAGAATATGCAGTGCCGCCCTCGTACATAGCTGCAGCGTGGCTCTAGCACGTAAATAAAAATAAATATAAAACCTACTCGAAATTCAATTACGCGTGTTTTATCTGAAGAATATGCAGTGCCGCCCTCGTACATATAGCTGCAGCGTGGCTCTAGCACGTAAATAAAAATAAATATAAAACCTACTCGAAATTCAATTACACGTGTTTTATCTGAAGAATATGCAGTGCCGCCCTCGTATATAGCTACAACGTGGCTCTAGCACGTAAATAAAAATAAATATAAAACCTACTCGAAATTCAATTACACGTGTTTTATCTGAAGAATATGCAGTGCCGCCCTCGTATATAGCTGCAGCGTGGCTCTAGCACGTAAATAAAAATAAATATAAAACCTACTCGAAATTCAATTACGCGTGTTTTATCTGAAGAATATGCAGTGCCGCCCTCGTATATAGCTGCAACGTGGCTCTAGCACGTAAATAAAAATAAATATAAAACCTACTCGAAATTCAATTACACGTGTTTTATCTGAAGAATATGCAGTGCCGCCCTCGTACATAGCTGCAGCGTGGCTCTAGCACGTAAATAAAAATAAATATAAAACCTACTCGAAATTCAATTACGCGTGTTTTATCTGAAGAATATGCGGTGCCGCCCTCGTATATAGCTGCAGCGTGGCTCTAGCACGTAAATAAAAATAAATATAAAACCTACTCGAAATTCAATTACGCGTGTTTTATCTGAAGAATATGCAGTGCCGCCGTCGTACATAGCTGCAGCGTGGCTCTAGCACGTAAATAAAAATAAATATAAAACCTACTCGAAATTCAATTACACGTGTTTTATCTGAAGAATATGCAGTGCCGCCGTCGTACATAGCTGCAGCGTGGCTCTAGCACGTAAATAAAAATAAATATAAAACCTACTCGAAATTCAATTACACGTGTTTTATCTGAAGAATATGCAGTGCCGCCCTCGTATATAGCTGCAGCGTGGCTCTAGCACGTAAATAAAAATAAATATAAAACCTACTCGAAATTCAATTACACGTGTTTTATCTGAAGAATATGCAGTGCCGCCCTCGTATATAGCTGCAGCGTGGCTCTAGCACGTAAATAAAAATAAATATAAAACCTACTCGAAATTCAATTACACGTGTTTTATCTGAAGAATATGCAGTGCCGCCCTCGTATATAGCTGCAGCGTCGCTCTAGCACGTAAATAAAAATAAATATAAAACCTACTCGAAATTCAATTACGCGTGTTTTATCTGAAGAATATGCAGTGCCGCCGTCGTACATAGCTACAGCGTGGCTCTAGCACGTAAATAAAAATAACTATAAAACCTACTCGAAATTCAATTACACGTGTTTTATCTGAAGAATATGCAGTGCCGCCCTCGTACATAGCTACAGCGTGGCTCTAGCACGTAAATAAAAATAAATATAAAACCTACTCGAAATTCAATTACACGTGTTTTATCTGAAGAATATGCAGTGCCGCCCTCGTAGATAGCTGCAGCGTGGCTCTAGCACGTAAATAAAAATAAATATAAAACCTACTCGAAATTCAATTACACGTGTTTTATCTGAAGAATATGCAGTGCCGCCCTCGTATATAGCTACAACGTGGCTCTAGCACGTAAATAAAAATAAATATAAAACCTACTCGAAATTCAATTACGCGTGTTTTATATGAAGAACAACAAAACCTAAATTATTTAAGTTATTTTTATTTGTACTTTATTGTGTTTCCTGACTGCCTCGTTGGTCTAGTGGTTGTAGTAGTGCTGATCATGAGGTCCTGGGTTCGAATCCCAGGTCGGGCCAAAAAATTAATTATTGCTGTCAAGAAATTCTCAATAGCTGCCCGGAGTCAGGATTTCAGATTGGTGGTGTCTCACCCCCGTGCCTCGGAAAGCACGTAAAGCCGTTGGTCCTGCGCCTGATCTCTCTCCCGATCGTGTCGGTTTACCGTCCCATCGGATTACGAGGGTGAGGGAATAGAGAGTGCACCTGTGCTTGCGCATACACTTGGGCACTATAATCCTGTCCTGCGCCGATGGCTAGCCTCCGTTGAGGCAGGCCGCCGTGGCCGAAATTCGGTCTGGAGGATATTATTATTGTGTTTCCTGTATAAAAAAGTTACAAAAGGTGGACTTGGTCAAATGTAATTTCAAATCCAAAACCGTCAAAACATTTTTATTTTCATCGGACTCATAAGGAATCTAAATGGAAAAAGAACGTAATGGTAATAAGTTATAAGTTGTAAAATGAAATCGGAGCACTCACCTATTATGCAGGTCGACGGGCTTGGCCATGGTGAACTCCTTAGCGTGGACATTCAGTTTGTTGCCGGCCGTCGTGGTGGTGCCCGTTGTCGCTCCGGTGCTGTTGGCGGCCGTCGCCGGCGCCGCCACGCCGTCTGTGCGGACGCCTGGTGGTCAACGGTGGTCGTCAAGAGAAGAGGTGATAGGAAAGAGGGTAGTGGGTAATAGATGTGTGACTGAAGGAGTGCTTTAGGTATACGATGACGTGACGTTATGTGTAAAGATATTGCGAATGTTTTAACATAGACAATGTTTATATCAAAGCTTCATATTCGTAGACGTAAAAACTAGTCAAGTGCATGCTATGTCCAATGCCCAATTAATTTCGCGTGCTTTTTTTATCCATTTGGTTTTCCAGTACTACTTAAGATACAAAGAATTTTCGCGAACGAAATAACGACGACCGTGCCATGCCGTGCCTGTGCCCGTGATCGTTTTTTTAAAGAATAAGAGTGACAAACCAGCACATTGTCCACCTCATGGTAAGTGAATGCCGTGGCCCACAGACATCTACATTTATCCTCTATTAAGAATCAAAACGCAGATGTGTTGTCACCCCTGAGGACTAAGATGGAATGCCTCGTTTCCAGTAAAAAAGGGTCTCCGGATCTCTATACTCACCATACGAAATACAGCAGTATTAAGCTGCTATTTTACGCTGGTATTCTGTGAAAGCGTGGTCCTGCCCCGATCAAGCCGACCCATTCGTGCTACAACCGTAATTTAGCTGCAGCGTGACTATACCACGTATAAATGTTATAACCCCCCCCCCCACAAGTTCACTGCTGAACAAAGAAAGATGCTGCTGATCTTCTGTTACGTTTCTGTCGGTCGCCGCTGTAATTCTGCTGACTTTCCCTCAATCTATACCTTATTATCAAATTATTGTTATTTTCTTTCAGTTTGTCTTAACGATACTTTTGGAAGTAATAGTAAATTAATCATTATAATTGAAAATATATTTTAACTAATTATTTGTTTAATTAACAACCGCATACTACGATTATAACAAGTTTCAATCATTTACGTGAAGCCACTGATTAAAACTTCTATAATAGACGGATAAACACTGGTATGCTAATTTTGGCACTGAACACCAAAAATATGTTATTTTAATCAGTCTATTTACGCTATTAGTTTCAGTCTTAACCGTTTTTTTAAATATCTAATGGATCCGAACGTATTCAGTAATAAATGTGAAATAATTTTTATGCTTTTCGTTTTGATTGAAAGTAGGTTATATTATACATAAAATTGTTAAACGTAAAGCCGTTACTTTTCAGTATAGGTATTACGGAAAACCACCTTTTCACTATTCATCATCATCATTACAGCCCTTCAAAAGTCCACAGCTGAACATAGGCCTCCCAGAGTGATGGGCCTCAAGTAATGCCACAAAATACGGTCCTGAGCCACCTGCATTCATCGACTTCCTGCATATCTTACCAGGTTGTCACTCCATTTAGTTGGGGATCGTCATACCGGTACGAGGCTACCACTCGAGAACCTTTCTTCCCCATCGGTTATCGGTTCTTCGAGCTATATGGCCGGCCCATTGCCACTTCAGCTTACTAATCCGTATTTTAATTTTAATTATTATAATATTTAAATTTTAATCCTTTTCACTATTACCATCCTCTAATATTAAACATCCATAAGTTACATACATTTTGCATTAACTAAACGTCACTTCGGAAATTAAAAATAAATAGAATAACGCGATAAAATCCGTTGAAGTAGTTTTATTCAGTAACGTATACTGCTTGCTAAATACTTTATTTAATACATGCGACCTGTCACGACTTCGCTTGGCTATTATTTATTCTGGGGCATGGGTTAAAATTTATTAACAATCAAATGTTGATAAAGTAAATTTTAATTGTTAAAATAAGGCCATGTTATCAAATACAAAGTTATTTTGGCGTTGTTTAAAAAAAAAACTCAAAATTTTTAGGATAAAAATAGCCAAGATTCGTCCCAGCATTGCTTTCTGTCTGATCGTAAAGTTTGATCACAATAGGTTCAACCATTCTGAAGAATTGCCCACAGAGACTGACAAAAATTGAAAATTGATTTTTAATGTCTTAATGTTGTACAAGTAGCCCTCTCAGATCAATTTATCTAAGAGAAGTACTTCGATATAACAGGCAGACATTTCAATTTTAGTTACAACTAGCTGGGACCCGGCGCGTTGCAGAAGCAGAAGAAATTATTGTGGAAATATAGTTTTTTTTTCTGGAAGAGTAATTAAGACAAACATATATTGTTTAATTAGGATTGATTAATACGTTCATTGAAGTAAAAGTTATATAAATCTTTCAAACAAATTCGTCGGTACGATACGCGCCTCTGCCTACTATGCCTATAACCTTCAAGGAAGTAGAAGAAATAAGTTGACAAAGTTTTACCACAATCTGATGAACGGTAGGTAAGTGCATAAAGTACGAACTAACAAATATATTTTTTTATAATAGACGTATAGATAGGCTTAAAAACTTTTTTGTTTTTAATTTAGTGACGAACTTGACTAATTCGAGCAATTTATTGATATATTATTTTATTTATAATGTAATATCTATTTATATTATTAGACTGACATTATTTTATGAACATTTTCGATACGCAAACCAAAATATCGGGTTTTTCAACAAGAACTTTGTTTTCTAAAACAAAATAAAACAAAGAGTTTAGATGAAGATGATTCAAATTTTTATTGTATTACGAAGAGAAAAGTTTGGCAATTATGAATGAAAAATGATATCTGGCAAATGTCCACCACGACCACGCTGACAGATATCGATTCTTCATCAAAGTTTTTAATCACTTTTTGGCAAAATGGCGTGTCTATTTCGTTAATCACGTCACGGATTTTGAGTTTTAAGGGCGCAATCGATTCGATTGGCTCCGTATAGACTCTGTCCTTAACATAGCCCTACAAAAAATAATCCAGTGGTGTTAAATCACACGATCTGGCTGGCCATTTAACAGCTGAATTTCGTGAAATTATGCAATTGGGAAATTTGGTTTGCAATAAATTGATCGTTTCGTTGGCTGTGTGACATGTGGCACCGTCCTGTTAAAACCACATGTTTGTGATATCGATGTCATCAATAATAGGCCAAAATTGAGATGTTAACATCTCGCGATAGCGTGATCCATTGACCGTTACCGCATTTCCAGCCTCATCTTCGAAAAAAACGGCCCAATCACGCCTCCAGACCACATAGCGCACCATACAATGACACGTTGAGCATGCAAAGGCTTCTCAATAAACGCTTTAGAATTTTCAGAAGCCTAAATGCGGCAATTTTGCTTGTTGACGTACCCTGACAAGTGAAAATGGGAAAAACCAGCGGGCTGTTCCTGAATGAATTGAGCGAATCTACGGCGATGTGAATGATCGGTCAGCTTCAATTCCTGCACCAGTTGAACCTTGTAAGGCTTCAAAGCCAAATCCTTTCGCAAAATTCGCCATGTGGTGGTTTTGGATAACCCCAATTGTTGAGAACGTCGAGGAATTGACATATTTGGATCTTCTTCAACACTGTGGCTCACGGCTGCGATGTTTTCGGTTAAACGACCCGGTCGAACACGCGTTGGTGTTAAATAAAATATCACGAATTTTACGAAACGTAACTTTAACAGAACCACCATTTTCATAGTGGATTTTAATTATTTTAATGCGATTATCGAGCGAAATTGAATTCCTTGTAGCAATTGCCAAAGCATCTACTACGAATAGGTCAAAAAACTAAATGTCAAAACCTGTCATGTTGTTGGTGTTGCCCCAATTTAAAAACAAAGTTCTTGTTGAAAAACCCTTTATATAATACCTATTAAGTTTAGTAATAATAATTGTATTTTTTATACGTGGTAGAGCCATGCTGCAGTTATATTAGTAGTAATAGGGATAGAGTGGCACGAAGAGTTGCGGGAGAGAAAAAAATATTAAAACATTATTTTATCTAACATAAAAGGATTGTAAAGAACACAGTGAAGGCATCCATGCAAGGCTAATCAAAAGATACAACGATATGACCTTATACGTGGTAGAAGCATGATGCAGATATATTAGTAGTATATATAGTTGTAGCACGAATGGGTCGGCTCGACCGGGGGGGGGCCACGCTCTCACAGAATACCTAGTAACTTAATGCCGATGTGTTTCGTATAGTTAGTGTAGAGAACCGAAGACCCGTTTTACTGGACACGAGGCATTCCATGTTAGTCCTCACGGGTGACAACGCATCTGCATTGTGATTCGTAACCGAGGATACATGTCCATGGGCCACAGCAACCACTTACCATCAGGTGAACTGTGTGCTCGTTTGTCGTATCGTATAAAAAATAGATGAAAATTTTTTTTAAATAATTTGTGACAAATTGGCACAGCTTCGTTAAGCTAATTTGAATTGCGTAACTCGAGTTTAATTCGAGTTACCTGAATTTCAACTCGAGTTAACTCGAACCGATTTTCTTCCGAGTGTGCCAACAGCTCTAACACAATTATTTTTTAAATATTACATTACCAGAACCAATGACCTGAATACGAATATCCAAACTACTTTTAGATTTTCAAAGAATGTTTAGGCTATTTTTATAATAATAAATTATTGTGTAGTAAATACTATTGAGGGTCGTTAAAATTTCTAGTGGGCCCAAAAACGATTGTCTCCTTTATACGCATTTTCACTCCCGGCCTCCGATTCTCTACACTCACCATACGAAACACAGCGGCGTTACTATTTTATACTGGTATTATGTGTGAGCGCGGTGCTTCCTCGGTCAGGCCGACACGTTCTTGTCGCAACCATAGCATAGCTGCAGCACGTCTAAAATCGTCTTTTTTAAATGCCGCGAGTTTTCGCTTTTAGATTGAAAATTCAATTGCAATATTTAATTTACACACAATGTGATATAAACTAAAATATTCATTAACCCACATTCTTTTTAACTGCGTGACAAACGTGCTTACCGTCAGTGACTACTACAGCTTCCGGCGCAAATACTAATATAGGTAATTAAAAGTGTTGAATTTTATTAGGATTCAAGAAGAAGGTTTTCTATATTATTTGTATGGTTATTTATATTGTTTGCCTACATACATCTACATTTATCCTCGATAAAGAATCCGTGAAGAAGAGAGCTGTGGTAGCTCAAATGGTTAACGCTCGCTGTAAATATAACAGAACCCGGGTTGAGTTCGATCCCTGCCGGCACCAATGAAATTATTTAATTGCAATTTTAAGTGCTGATTTACCACGTGCTCGGCGGTGAAGGAAAACTTCGTGAGGAAACCTGCATGTCTGAGGAATAAGAAAAAATATTACGAAGACATGTGAAGTTCGCCAACACGGGCAGCGCGGCGGACACTTCCTTGCTCTAAAAACCTCTCAGAAATGAGAGGAGGCCTGGGCTCAGCAGTGGGACGTATATAGACTGTAACTTTAAGAATCTAAATGCAAATTCGTTGTCACCCCTGAGGACTAAGATGAAATGGTCTACGGTTCTCTACACTCACCTTACGAAACACAAAAGCTTGAGCTGCTATTTTATGCTGGTATTCTGTGAGAGCAGGGCCCTATCCAAGTCGAGCCGACCGATTTGTGCTACAACTAATATAGTTGCAGCGTGGCTCTACCACGTATAAAACATATATAGGTAAATAACCCTAAAAATGTTATAATTTGTGGGCATAACTAGTTAACCAGACTATATCTTAATTTCTCTTTCTTATTTGACAGACTATCAACCGTAGACAGAGAAACCTATAGACAAATTGACGCCTTCTTTCGCATTTGCACACGAAAAAGATAGATTTATGCATACGTCTTGCATAGAAATGAGACATAGGGGCGTGATTGTTTGTCCCTTTCTCCATGCCGGTTTTTTTGTTTAGCAAACTACACTTTGCTAAACATCTTTGACAGTTAGTTTATAAGTTGGTTTAAGTGAGAAAAAAGTGTTTTGTGAGCTTAAGATTAGTGAATCTTGTTCAGTTTAGTTCTTAGAACAATTAAAATTTTTATCTAAATTTGTTTAAAAATCATAACTAAAACTATGTTATCGTCCTTTCTCACATGAGGCCACGCTAATTATTAGTCTATAGGTTTCTCTGTGTACACTATCAACGATGAAAACTAACTAAACAAATTAAAACGAAGGTTTTCTTAAGGAACTCGTGAAAAATGTCTGCACCAAATTAAATAAATTTGTATATATGCACTGCGTAGACTACAGTGCGTCGCAGGGAAAGGGGCTGCGCTTACTGCATACTACGGATATATTGAATCTGTGTTGAGGTATGGTCTGTTGGTATGGGGAAACTCGACTGATATAAATAAAGCGTTTATCAGTCAAAAGAAATGTATACGAGCTCTATGTAACGTTAGTCCCCTTGAGACATGTAGACCTTTATTGAACAATAATAACTTGCTAACGCTGACTGGACTGTATACATTAGAGGTGTGTATATTTGTCAAAAAAATCAGTGTTTATTTCATATCGCTCGCGACAATTCTATTATATATAAAAGGGACCCTACTAGATTGTTAATGCCCGCCTGTAGGACAGCTTTGTTCCATAAAAATTGTTACATAATGTGTATAAAAGTTTTTAATAAGATACTTAGAGCGATTAGAGAGTTACCAACAATGGGAATGAAAACTCACCTAAAAATAGCTCATCCAGCAATCTTTTTACTCAATTAAAGAGTTCTTTGCACATAAGTAGACGATACGTTTGGGTAGATTACTACATAGCTACATCCATTAGGTGGTGGCTGACAGATCCCAGTGTATCTGACAGCTCGGACGATTGGGCTATAAAACTAAACGAAACAGAGACTCATTTGAATTCACTCCTTCGCGAATCTAATCTAGGAAATACTAATTTTATATAATACACTTAGGAATATACACTAACACACTTATACTTTATACGTGGTAGAGCCACGGTGCAGCTACCTGTGAAATGGTACCTATTAGCATGAATGGGTCGGCTCGATCGGGGAAGGACCACGCTGTCACAGAATACTAGCGTAAAATAGCAGCGTATTGGTGCTGTGTTTCGTATGTTGACTGTAGAGAACCGGAGATCCATATTACTGGAAACAAAGCATTTCATCTAAGTCCTCACGGGTGACAACGCAATCTTGATTCTCAATTGAGAATAAATGTGAGATGTCTATGGGCTACAGTAACCACTTAGCATCATGTGAACTGTGTGCTCGTTTGTCGCTTATTCAATTTAAAAAAAACGGAAAGTTAACATGGATAGTTCCTAGTAATAAAGATTAGCACGATTTCAATTAATAGATAAATTTCATGCTAGGAAAGTTAATTTATTTATAGTAATAAAAGTTTTTCCGCGTTTATTTATTTCCCTTTATCCAGTTAATTGGTGGTAAATCATCAAGCGAAGTGCACAACAAACTTGTCTAAGTTGACCACCGCGCGTGCACGAATCGTCGCGCTCAAATTCACAAACTTTCAAACTTTCTGAGTTTTACACCTACTACAGCGCTCAATTAATTAAAATTGTGAGCCTAATACTATAACGATGGACTCCGAGTGCAGCTATATACAAAAAAAAACTTCGAATGTTGAGTAAAATTAAAATAGTAAAAAAGAAAATCTTCGAATTAGTAAATTTCTATTTACTCATCAGAAGATTTTGGTATAATGTCTTCTTACCTACTTAATTTAATTAAGTCATTTTTTTTAAATAAAATGTACATACTAAATGTGCTCGGTGATAAGAAGCAAAAATCTAATCATTTAAGTTGATTTCAGTGTTTTTTTTTAATTCTCCTTCAATTTCAAGTCAATATTTTTTAATAACCAGGCATTCCGAACTCTGCGCAACGTAAGTAAAACCTATTAATTAATATATTTTTGTTAAAGAAAAATGCAAGCATATTTGGAATCAGTTCACAGAAAATTTAGGCACAATAGAAACAAAACTGTTATATGTTCTGACGTATGGGTGTACTAGGCCGAATTTGTTTCAACCATAGACTATCCTCTACCTACGGTTTCAACAGATTTTGAAGTTGTCATTAATCGCAGCTCTATGTTATTATATGTATGCCAAAATGTAAAAATATTTACGCCAATTTACTGCTAATTTCTTATCATATACCTATGCTTATAAAATCAATCTACTGCTTCCTAAAAGGATGGAAGTTATAGTCGTTTGAAAGCATAAACCACTTCGGTAAAAGCAACTATTTAAAACATTCGTTGTATAATGTTAATACGTTGGTGTTACGACTGTATCAACTAGAACCATAAAAAATAATAACAAACAACAAAGTCTAGCCTACATATAAATAAGCAAAATAAACCTGAACTTTCAGTGACTACGGTTGAAGCTTCAGGCGGTATAACAGATACTGTAGGTACTGTCACAGAAGAAACAGGGGCTACTTGAGACACTGGCACATCCGGCATTGGCTGAACCAACGATTGTTTCACTATACACCTCGACATTTTGGATTTTTCATACACATCGAAATTATACGCGTTGACATTCACGATCCACTGACACAAACATAGGACTGTCGACGCGTTCCAAACATGAAGTTTTGTTTATTTTTAATTTTGGCGCCAATTTTACTTGGCAACGCTTGCCAGCTAACACTTCCCACAAGCTAATGTAAATTCTAATCCCGATAAAATGTGCAATAATATTATTAAGCTAAAAAATTCACCCTTAAAGTATAACACGTGTAATAACTTTTTAACATCAACAAATATTATTTCTCATATAAAAACAATAATAAATTATCACCCTTCATACATACGATAATAATAGATTTAAATATTAATACTGTAAATGTAAGAAAAATAAGGACGTAGGAACGATGTGTTACATTAGCACCAAAGCGGGGAAACAAACTAACCTGGAGGCCTGTAGATCTCAAGCGTGGGCTTTCCCTTGGCATTGGTCAGGATCATGCTCCGCCGTTTCCCATTGTGCGGAAACTGTAACAAAGAACAATAATTATAAATAAAATGAATTTTATTAACAAATTGGAACTTAAAATAATTCAGAATTTATTTAATGGAAAATTGCTACGAAACTCCGAAGGATCTACTTGGTTATTTCTTTACAAATAACTTATTATTTCACCTTTCATAAATTTTTCTGTGGTTACCAACCTCTTTTGCCAAGCATGGCAAACATACTCCCTATGAAGATGGGGGGGGGTTGTGATAATCAGTGGACTTTTGACTTTTGATTAAGAATCAAAATGCAGATGCTTTGTCACCCCTGAACGTGCTTTACTACGCAAAACTTAATAATAAGATGTTAATGATTCCCATGTCTAGCGGTAGTTGGTTTACGGGCTTTTATAAAAAGAAAGTAAATGGAACATGGTAGTTTACCAGAAAACAACACATAATGATAAAGATCAGTAGAACCGGAAGAAAGAATATAGAAACAGGAGTGCCATAACCCTACGCTTGCTGGGTCAAGATAGTAAGAAAGTTGAAAAGAAAATCTACATAGATAAGATTAAATAAAAAGATGGTATGTTGTCACAGCGAATTAAAATTAAAATTCGTGAATAAAATGGCGATGAATCCACCGATAACAGCGCTGCTCTTAAATTTAAAGAAGAAGAACAAGATACAATAGGATTTTCGGTGTCAGAACTTACTGTCACCAACTTTATGAATGAGCTACGGGAAGAAATTCTGAACATTATTGTTGCTTCAGAATTACAAAGAGCAAAACTGAAATCTTATTTTCTTCAAAATCAAACAGAACGTAATAACCGATTTATACATTAGTCAATAATTTTATTTTCTATGAAGCATATCATTTATAAGGTTCTATATCACGTTATATAAATTTTTAGATTGTACCTCATTCCACACATATAATCCATAGTACAACAGATACACCCTAGCAGTTTTCGTATTGTAAAAATTCCTTTTGACTATTATTGTAGTCAATAAATAAAAAAAATAGATTTATGGTGCATATTATTTTATAAATACGTGAATTTGTGTACAGATTATGAATCATGCAATATTTCCACAATCTTGAAGATACGCATGATTCAAGCACGCTTGATGGACTGTCACGGTTTATTTTTGCCCGCATACGCTGAACAAGATGACTCCTGCCTGCTAGTCTCATCGACTAACAGAAAACTCAGTGATGACTTATATTTTATATTATTTAACTAAAATAGCCAGCATCGTGCTATAATATTTCATGTAATGACGGAATAAGGGATTCTAATTTTCTAATATATAGTTATATCTGTGATGTAATCTAAAAAAATTAAAAGGTAGAAAATAGAAAACATGTCTTAATAACGAGCATAGACAGAATCTTAAAATAAGAACAAAATTCTTATAGTTGAACTCTTTATTCATATAGCATTTACGAGGTACACATTAAGATAGCTGGATTATTCGCAAGTTTTTTTTTTCAAGGTTGTTGCACTTTTTTAAGCCATACACAACGACATTGATGTGCCTTTAGCGAAACAAAAACGTTATCGATAAATTAATTTAATCTGTGACTTAGTACAATTAAGGATTTTGATTAATCCAATTCATATCATAAATAAATAAATCAATGAACGTTAATTTGAACGTCATCTGATATCCTACCTAACGTAGACGGATAATGTGAAATTTCGCAATATCTTGGTAAGTTCAAATATGTCGTTGAAAAAGTTATTATGAAACCTACTTAAATTCGGCCGTTATGTTTCTGCTAAATTATTCCTAGCCTAAATGGGTTTCACGAGGTATTAACTGTCGACATGTAACCAAGTACACCATTGAAAATTTTATTTAATTATGTTTGTCTAATCAACACAGGGTTTGCTTTACGGACCCTACTTTAGAGGGCACTTTTACGATGGTAAAAATACCGTGGCACGACCGCAGTCTGTCTGCCTCTCTCGCTCTACCACAACTACTTATAAATCGATCAAGAAAGTATTAGCCGTTTTCTTCTCTGCGCCCTCAAGATATTATCGATCATTCATTAATTAATTACAACTTATTAAAAGTCTATCATTAAGGTCATGATCCTGCTTTCAATTCATGATTTCGAAATATTTTAATCCAAGCTGATATAGCTTTCTCGATGGTTTAGTTTTCGCCGGTCAAGTGGTAAGCCATCATATAAAATTGGGATTACAAATGGAGTCTAATTCGCTTATGTGACATGTGACTGTCAAGATTTAGCATTCATAACTTACTCCCAATAATTTTTTAAGTTTGCGACGTGAATATTTGCAATGTAATATAATCATCATCACTTGATTTAATAACTTAAATAAAGAAAATTAAAAAGAGTATCTTCAAACGATTGAACAGATTTTCTTTAAACATAGCTAAGAACACCCTCGATTAAGACACCTTGCAAACAAATATCCGTTCAGGAGATGCGGTGCCGCAGACAGGCACACAGATACACACTACAAACTTGTAACACCTTCTTTGTTTGTAGTTAGCTGCAAGTTTCCATGGGCTGCAGTAGCCACTTACCATCGACAGGTGGACTGTAAGTTTGTTGGATATTTCAATTTTATATATATATATATATATATATATATATATATATATATATATATATATACTATATATATATATATATATATATATATATATATATATATATATATATATATATATATATATATATATATATATATATATATATATGTATATATATATTATTATATAAAAACTTTAACTAATAAATAACAATATAGTTAACATATTTTATGCACATGTATTTTCGGAATGTGGAGAATATTCTAAATTACACAATTTATTTCACGCAGACCCATTCAGCATGGAAACGCAGCCAGCTTTCTTGGCGCTATACTATGGGGAGTAGGACTGTATGATGATTACAGTTTTTACTTTTTGTTTTTCTTTATTATAGTTTTTTCATATTGCATGTATTTCAGTGTTCACTTTTTCAGTTCAGTTTCAGTATATGTTAGAGCCTTCTAAAATTGTAACCATCCTTTTCACTTAGCCGTAGTTGGGTAAAAATATCCACTTACATCATCTGCGCCAAATCAGAAGACACGAATATATTGCAATCGGTATCGATTATTGAAATTGAGACAGGCATTGCGTAGTGCATCACTATTTGTCACTAACACATGCACATTACACGCACACTGGTGTATTTTGATTTTGGTTTCGCCCTAATTACTCTATCGCCAATCTATTCTATACTACATATATGCAATGACGACTCAAATTAAAAAAAACTTTTATTTAAACAAAATCATAAACTTCATACCCAAAATAGGGGATGAAATTTAGTAGGGTAGAATTTATCCCTAAAATTTTTTCCAAGAAATCAGTGAAAATTCATAAATAATACATGCGTGGAAGATAGAGCCTCCTCGTTTAGCACTTGGTTAAAATAGTAAGAGGGATTCTAGTTCTAGTGAGGACATTCTACGATAGCATTGCATATTAACACTTTTAGTACATCTTTTTATATTAACAATTTCGTCACAATTCGATGCAGTTTCAAACAACTCTTTTACAATTTTGTAGAGGTGTACTATTAAAAAATTCTAAGAAATAATTTGTTGATTTTAATATGGACTATGTTAAGGTAATCACGTTCTATAAGCTGTTTACGTAGGTTGCGGTATTGCGCACATCGCCTACATGACTCTTGCAATGTCAAAACGCATTCTAATCAGCGCTCATATTGCTTGCTGATTGGTGTATATTAATAAAACTAAACACTAAATACGATTTTTACGAGCGAGGTAACAGTCAACTTGATGGAAAGTGGCTATTGACTGTAGCCCATGGACCGTTACCAGGTGGTACCGACCCCAACGAAATCGTTGGCAGACAAGAAGCCCTACCACGAAAAATATAATAATAATAATATTATAATAATATCGTCCTCCAGACCGAATTTTGGTCACGGCGGCCTGCCTCAGCGGAGGCGAGTCATCGGCGCAGGACAGGATTATAGTGCCCAAGTGTATGCGCAAGTACAGGTGCACTCTCTATTCCCTCACTCTCATAATCCGATGGGACGGTAAACCGACACGACCGGAGAGAGATCAGGCGCAGGACCAACGGCTTTACGTGCTTTCCGAGGCACGGGGGTGAGACATCACCAAATTCCTGACTCCGGGCAACTACTGCGAATTTCTTGACGGAAAAACGCAATAATAATTTTTTTGGCCCGACCCGGGAATCGAACCCAGGAGCTCAAGACCAGCAGTCGTACACTACAACCACTAGACCAACGAGGCAGTCCACGACAAATATAATAGAATGTAGACAGTTTTAGGTTTTTCTATTCACGTGATTGGAGTTATAGAAAGGAAAAAAGTATTATTTTTAACTTAAAATCTAAGCATATAATAAAAACGATTATTTAAATTTAAATTACCTGGTTGTGATGCATATTATGATGAGACTGCGGGCGAATGAAGCTTCGCTCCCTCATAATGACGCCAGGCGATGTGAAATCCTGCATTCTGTAGCTCCTTTGCAACTCGCCCCCTACTCCCATTTGGGTCTGCATTTTGTTGTTAGTCCCTAAGTGTGGATCTAGCTTTCTATGTTTATGGCGGGCTTTATCGCGATTCGCACTTTTTTGAGAGTTGGCTACTTTGGACGGTATTTAACGCTTGTATTTTCTTTGGTTATTCAAGCTTTTTGTTTAGCGTTTTGTTTATTAGTATTTTAAACCAATATATGTTTCTAAAAAGCTCTTTAAATAATAATACAACTTTATAATGTCTACAACAATAAGTTTATAAATAAAATAAATATACACTAGATGAATGACTAGTTTTACAGTTACGTTCAAAGAATGACAATATATTTTCTGTTAAATATATTTTTATATTTACAAAAATTGCGTATAAAAATGTTTAAAGCGGGCAATATACACATTCAAATGAGTGTAATAAAGAACAAAGCATTAACATTACAATAAAAAGTAATCACAAAGCTGTATTGTGACGTCACGTTAGAGATCAATAAATATTCAATTTATATATGCATATATAAATCTTTAAACATCGAAACCCCATCTGTCGTGGCCACTGATAGATGGATTTCTGAAGTACTTTTTCGAGAATTTTTCGTTTTCTTAATACGACTTATAAAGAGCGGTGCAGGGTTGCTGGGTGGCTGACAGTCACAGAGCGATTATTTTAATATTTCGAGGGGCAAAGAAGCAGAGGCTTCTTCGGCGCCAAGCTCGAATCGTTTCGTCGAAGGGGTTCTAAGAACCCTAATCTGTAACAAAAGAATAATAATTCAAAAACTGTCACGAAACGCAATTTAAAAAAATAAAAAATTCGATCGAAAAGGTCGGTTTGATTTTGAGGTTCGTTTGATGGATCAGTTTTTTTTTTGAATTGAATTAGATATTTTAAAATCCAAAAAATCAAATAACTGCTATTACTAACAGAAATATTTTCACTAAATGTCTCTTTCAAATAAACAGTAAGTAGTTACGTTGTACCAGTTCTGGCGCACGACGTTCGTCGACTCACAATCCTAAAAAAAAAAAAAAAAAAAAAAAAAAGGTTTTGGCATGCTCTGATCACGAATCTGCGGTCCATTTTTGCGTAGGATGCACGGTTCCGGAGATGTGCAGATCAATTAACTAATAAATCTAATTGATAATATTCGTCCAGCGTGTGGGTCGGCTTATGCTATTGTATTATACTCCTTTGTTCCTATCTACAACACTAATCTGAATCATCAATAAAACACATTACCTAATTTTGTTAAAATTTTTATTTATAAAATACAAAATCTTATTACTTATTATCTATAAAATAGGAGCGAAACATCTCATCCACTAACATATCGTTGTACAATGTGTTCTCTGTAAATATACTCGTAAAACTATGCATTGAACATCCCTGAAACTTATATAGCAAATACATTAAGCAATATTCGCCACAAACTGAAGTCCTATCAACATTCCAGTTCCATCTTTTAAACACATTACCTAATTTTGTTAAAATTTTTATTTATAAAATACAAAATCTTATTACTTATTATCTATAAAATAGGAGCGAAACATCTCATCCACTAACATATCGTTGTACAATGTGTTCTCTGTAAATATACTCGTAAAACTATGCATTGAACATCCCTGAAACTTATATAGCAAATACATTAAGCAATATTCGCCACAAACTGAAGTCCAATTTGAATCCTATCAACATTCCAGTTCCATCTTTTACAATTCTCTTTACCTAATTTTGTTAAAATTTTTATTTATAAAATACAAAATCTTATTACTTATTATCTATAAAATAGGAGCGAAACATCTCATCCACTAAAATATCGTTGTACAATGTGTTCTCTGTAAATATACTCGTAAAACTATGCATTGAACATCCCTGAAACTTATATAGCAAATACATTAAGCAATATTCGCCACAAACTGAAGTCCTATCAACATTCCAGTTCCATCTTTTAAACACATTACCTAATTTTGTTAAAATTTTTATTTATAAAATACAAAATCTTATTACTTATTATCTATAAAATAGGAGCGAAACATCTCATCCACTAACATATCGTTGTACAATGTGTTCTCTGTAAATATACTCGTAAAACTATGCATTGAACATCCCTGAAACTTATATAGCAAATACATTAAGCAATATTCGCCACAAACTGAAGTCCTATCAACATTCCAGTTCCATCTTTTAAACACATTACCTAATTTTGTTAAAATTTTTATTTATAAAATACAAAATCTTATTACTTATTATCTATAAAATAGGAGCGAAACATCTCATCCACTAACATATCGTTGTACAATGTGTTCTCTGTAAATATACTCGTAAAACTATGCATTGAACATCCCTGAAACTTATATAGCAAATACATTAAGCAATATTCGCCACAAACTGAAGTCCTATCAACATTCCAGTTCCATCTTTTACAATTTCGTACAGGTGCCCGTCCATATGAATCAAAATATTCACCGACGTCATTCGTATCGATATATAAAGCTACCCAATGTGACCCTGGTTTATCATCTGTACCCAAATTGCATATTACCTAGTCAGGTCATAAATTCTATCACATGTTTAATGTAAAATAATTGAAACAAGTTTATTCATTATGTAACCATTTATATACCAAAATGAACTTAACAAAACATAGATTCTTATGACACTATAGTTTATTCAAAATGACCTCCGTAATTTTGAATACAGGCCTTCAATCTGCGCGGCCAGTCGTCTATCTCACCACGAACGAGGTCCATGTCATATCGGCGGCTGCCTTAATTAAAGATGTCTTGAGTGACTCGAAATTGGGATGAGGCTTTGAGCACGCCTTTTCCTCCAAGTGTTACCATATCTTGTAATCTAACGGATTCAAATCTGGACTGGTCTTTGTGTCGGATGAAGTCGATTTCACGCGCCGCCAGCCAGTCTTTTTTTTTTTTTGTTTTTAAAGAACGTTACCTCCACACTAGGTTTTTCTCCTGTATCGTGGGGGCAGTTTACAAACACAAATTTCACAAGGACAAACATCCAAACTCGGAACAATTACTTGTAGGTCGTACAAATACTTGTTCCGTGCGGGATTCGAACCCGCGACCCCCAAGCGCAGCCACTCATTGCTAAGCCACTACGCCACGGAGCTGTCAAAAGTCTTGTGTGCTCTTCGCTCTATGAGCTGACGCCGAATCTTGTTGGAATACCCAGTGCCTGTTATTGAACATGGTATGAGAAACAGGTTACACAAGGTTCGTCAGGACTGTATTTTGATACACAACTGCATTCGTTTTTAACCTTTCTCACAAAAATGTACCTCTGTTAAGCCCCAATAAGAAACTCCCAACCATACCATGAGCGAGGATGGAAAATGACCTCGTTGGACACGCGGAATACGGTTGCTCGCTTCTTCACTACTGTGTGCGTACACCTTATCATTTTGTTTGTTGTAGCTCTCTTCTACGGTAAAAATTTTTTTATCCGAAAAAAGAATTTCCCGATATTTTTTTCCCGCGTACCGCTTCACCAAAGCGCGGCATCTCTTCAGTCTCAGATCCATTAGACGAGCATTCAAACGATGTCCTGTTTTTCTTCGATATGCCCGAAGCCCTAAGTCTTCATTTAACGCCGTGGTTCTGCTTAACCCCATCTGAAGGGCCAACAGTTTCTGCTTACGTTTGGGATTTCTTTGAATTCGCACCTTTACAGCTTTTATCACTGCTGGAGTCCTAACAAATCGAGGGCGACCACTTCTTGACCTGTCATCTACACTAGAGTCTTCATTGTATCGTTTGATGGTACGATAAACGAATCTTTTGGTTATATTCAAATTTTTCAGTATATCAAAAAATTTAATTGGCGCGTAATCGCAACTGCAACACGGTCTTTTTTAAGCGTCCACTCCATATGTAAAAATGAGTAAAATTCTAAAAAGTATACAGTTTTATTTTCATGAACAATTCGAATTCAATAAACTTTTTTGTGGCCAGCATTCTAAAAGAAAAGTTTTTACTGTGTGACAATACTTATGACCTGACTAGGTATATACGTTGGTACGTGGGTGTACATGGGCAGTCTGTTAGCAGCATAAACATTATTTTCTAGACTGGGGTGAATCTTTTTCAGATGTTGTTGTACATCTAGTGTATCCATGATATTACTGCTATTAGTAGATTACTACAGTACAATCTACTCAATGACTAACATAGGAATGATCAATTATGTGATTTCTAAATATTAAATTGCATTTTTTCTGTTATACAAAACGTATTTGAGTCATCAATACACTGAATAAGACGCAACACGAAGAATGTGAGATAAGGTTGTTGACGCATAAAGTTATTATCAATTCTACTGTAGAAATTCTTTAGATTAGAATTATTACTTACTGGTACTATATAAGACCAAGCAACTGCAGTCATGGAGTTAGTGTATGGTCGTTTGACCGCAGTGTATCTATCAATAATACATTTGTGTTACTTCAACGCATCAAAGGCCATAGATGTAAGTGTTTAATCTATTGACAAACTTACTTTTCTTTCTGTTATTTTTTTACGTGTGTATGATTTTGAACGACAGGCCTGTTGGTCTAGTGGTTAGTGACCCTGACTGTTATGCCGGAGGTTGTGGGTTCGATTCCCACCCAGGACAAATGTTTGTGTGATGAGCACGATCATTTGTTCTGTGTCTGGGTGTAATTTATCTATAATATTTATGTATTTAGAAATATATAAGTATGTTTATCAGTTGTCTAGTACCCATAACACAAGCTCTGCTTAGCTTGGGACTAGATGGCGTTGTGTGATAGTTGTGGAATATTATTATTATTATTATTTTTAGTGTTAACAAATTATATTTAAATATTTTGTGTGTGTATATGATTAAGCCGTGGTAGCTCAGATGGTTAGCGCAAGCTGTAAATTTTACAGTACGTAACGCGGGTTCGATCCCCGCCGACACCAATTAAATTGTTAATTGCAATTTTAAGTGTTTATTC